CTTATAGGATGCTATTATTATGCCTATCTTTCCAATAGCAGGGTGCGATTTTTATAAGATTTTGCATATATATGAGGATTTGGTCAAGTTATCTTGATATAAAAAGGTTTTACGCATCAGAACCAACTTTTCGAGGGATCGTTCCCATGACAGCTATATGATATAGTTGATTGATACGGCCGGTTTCGGCATATGTACTGCCGCAAGAGCAAAATGTACCTAGGCTGAGTTTCAAGGCGATAGCTTTAAAATTGAGCGCTTAGTTCGCATAGAAACAGACAGACGGACAGATGGGCAGACAGACAATTGGACGGATGGACAGACAAACATTGCTATATCATCTAGTACATTTATACTTTATGGGCTTAAAGATGTCTCCCTCTATGTGTTACATACTTCATGACAAAATAATAGTATCCTTTATAGGCGTATAAATATAATAATCGATTTCATGTTCGTTTTTCAATAATCAAATCATATGCAACGTTGTCCACAATTATTATTAATTTTTATTTATTATTAATTAGTTTTTATTTCTGTCACTTTTGAGGGTTATAATCAGTATCTGCCACTGGCAACACATTTTATTTGAAATTTGTTGGCCTTATCTGCGGTTCGAGCCCGTTGCTATTACTAGAGCATTATTGGGTCAACACTTCTTTTTATCACTGCCAATGCAAAGATTGCGTTAAAATTTTTGACTTAACAAAATGTTAAATACATGAATTCATACATTACATGTGCGAAAGTTTTGGGTTGTGCCTTGCGGAATCTGTCACGTTAATAAAAAACGATTTAACAGCGATTTGTGAGTTGTGAATGGGTGTACATTCACAAAAAAACTCTGGACGAGTTGCAGCCAAATCCGTTTATGATCAAGTCAGGTTAACGCTCAGTTTTTCCACTTATCATCTTCCGGATTTTCGTGCAATGGCAACAACTTTTCTCGGAGACATGGCGATTAGCACATATATCTCTCCGATTTCTGCAACAATTCGTCAATTTGTAATTTCGACGGTGCGTCAATTCGCCAATTCGACAGTTAACCAATTCGGTGCTGTAACAACGTCAGCGGCGAGTGCTATTATTATTATTATTATTAATGTTGTTGTTGCTGTTGTTGTTTGTGTTGTGGCTGTTTTGGCCGGGCGCATAATATTTTGTTTCGTTCGTGATCGGCATTGGGGCTGAGCAAAATTTGAGTTCAGTTTGTGGCCAGCGCGCGAGCGAACGACACACGGCGCGGAAAAGCGACAGCTAGAGCGAAACGGTGCTGTATTAGTGAGAGTGAGAGTGAGAGCGGAAATGGCATTCGAAATTATTTCAAATAAAAATCAATTCGGGTTCGAGCAGAGTACATAGGCCGGCGGGACGGCGGTTTTTTTTTTTGGCTTCTAAACAGTTTGTCAATAAACAAATCATTTGCATTTTCGCACTATTCAATTGAATGAAATTAATTGTTTCGACTTGAAATTTATAAACAAAGACAGTTGATTAATCTGTGGCTATTGTTTATGTGCAAGTTATATATTTTTTTAAATTAATTAAAATTTGTCTGGCTTATGTCTTTAATTAAATGCCAATTACAATGCAAAGTGCACAAAACTCGTCACAGACAAAACTATTTGGCTGTGAACTCAACTTTTGATGGTCAAGGTCGTGAATTTTATGCGAAATGCGTGCCTTTTGGCTTGTCCATTGAGAGTTTTGAATTATGCAATAGCTAAGAAAAAAGTTGACCATTTAAATGTAATTGTTAGAAATCGCGTCAATGTTGATGAATTTGCAATTTTTTGTCTTTTTTTTATATATATATTTAGCACTAACATTCAGCTGAGCATTGATTGTTGGGCATGAAAGTGTTCAATGCAATCTCTGTGAGATTGTAAATTTAGAAAAGCTTCTGGCTCAGATTTATCTGAATATATTATAAGCACAGCAATTGATTTATTTCTAGTGTAATTACATTCGTGTTGGCTTGTGAAAAAATGTTAGTTAGCAGCTGCAATTATTGAGAGTTATTTTCCTTTTATTTTGTTAGCCTCCAGCAAGCTGAGCTGATTGGCATTTGTTTTTGGAATGCAGTTTGAATAAAACCTTTTCCTTATACAACAGCAATATTGGCGTAAAACAAATGGATGCTTCGTTGTTATATTTAGCACATTTTTGCGCACAATCTCCTGCTGGGGCCAGCTTGATATGAGATTTCCTTGAATTTTCCTTTTGAATTCCTAAAGAGAGGTCGCGAGGTCGAGTTGTGGCCACACAATAATCGAAATTCGATTTTGTGGATGTTTTGTGATTTCGATTACCGCTGCGAATAACTTTTGCTCAAGTTCGAAGAAAATTGCCAAACATTTAACTTCAGTTTGAGTACGCGCATTTATAATTTCATTTTATTTTCTGTATTTTTGTTGGTACTGTGTGAGGTTGTGCATCGTTTTGTTTTGCTGTGCTTTTCATTATTTACTCTTTCAGCCTTTAACAGTTTTTGTGTGTATTTGTTTTGTCTCTTGTCGTGTGTGTCATTTGAAATATTTGAAAGCCCCAAGCAGAGCGCAAAAAGTTGGTACATGTCGAGGGGCAGCAACCGCAGCCGAGGGACAAGGCTGCGACTGCTGAAGACGAAGCTGATGAAGACTTGTCATGGGTTTTTTTTTTGTTTTGTTAATCTCGCTTGTGGCATGGTCGGGAAAATAAAGGTGTATTCCAACTGTCAGACATAGTAATGCCAAGCAGGCAAAGCAAATGAGTACTTCACGGTATTAAAACTTGTTGGCTTATTTCATTTGCCCGTTAAGTGGGCCAAAAGCGCGTTGCAAAACTTTTCCATCTTGGCAAATAAATATTTTTTAATTTTCAACAAGCTTTATAGGCGTTCATTGTTGCCCAAAAGTTGCTCAATGCCTGAAAGGGAGTATTTTTTCAGCTTTCATGTTTTTGTGCTCTATTTGACTGTAAATAATGAATTTATGTGCCATTTTTGACGGCATCTAATCATTTTAAGGTCGGTTTGGCACGTCATGCTCCGGTTAAGAAATTCAATAAATTTCTATCCACTTAAGAGTTGGGCTATATAAAATTTGTTTTTATATGAAATAAAAAGTATCTTATTTATTACCAAGATTTCTTCTTATAATTAAAATTATTTCACAATTTTCACCAAGAGTTGATCTAGTCTATCCCCGTTCACGACTTGTCTTAAATTTATCGATTATAGACGTTTAATCAAGTCGATGGAGACTGCCACAATATATTTAAACCTTTTTGCAAACTTAGCACTTTGTCTGGTTTTACATAGCCCCGCTTAAGTTCTTCAATGATTGTTATTTGTATTTGTTGCTGTTCTTGTTGTTGTTGTTGTTGCCGCTTGCGTGCGTTGGCCATTTGCAAGTTGTTAACAAATATGTGAAACAAAAAATGATTTTATGACGTTTATTGGGGACGCTTCGTTTACGCATCAAAAACCAAAAAAAAAAAAAAGATGCTAAATGCCAAAATCGAGTTCTGTGCTAATTGTGCAACAAAAGCAAATCAAGTATTTTATGTGGCTGTTGTAAATTAATCATTAATTAAATATTTGCTTAACTGAGTTTTCACTTAGCTGCAGTGGCTGCAGCAAAGCCCGATTACATTTCCAATGTGGCATTCGTTGATGTCACAATTCTCGAACGACTTGAAGCGCGTTTCGGCACGTTTTCTGTCAGCTGCTTGTGAAGGTCGCAGACCGGGTAAAAGTAACCGATTTTTCGTGTTGTTGTTTGCTTCTCTCTTTTTTTTTTTTTTTTTATTTTTGCGCTGCTTTTGAAGCTACTGCAACAGTTGGATATTTTAATTACAGTGACTGTCTTTACTGCCGGTTTGCAAGCGGACGACAAAAAAAAAAAAGGAGAAACAACAACAATTCATTACATAACCAGCGCAATAAGACAGACAGATACTCAAACCACATGCTATATACATATAAACATATGTACACGCATACATATGTACACGCATTCATATGTATATACGCACACATGCATACAGGCAATGTTTAAGTATGCCCGGTCGCTTGTTGATTATGTTTTGAAACCTGTTTTTTGGGTGCCATCGGCCGGACAGAGACAGAGATAGACAGCCAGTTGCAGAGTGATGCCCCCCCCCCCTCCCTCCCACACACACTCTTCTCAGCCCCTCTATCTTTCTTTCTCTGGCTTAGTAGGTTGCCCTAGGCCAAGTCACGTGCCTTCTTCTCGACCGGCTTGTTAAAAACTCTTCAACAATTTGAGGTTCGTTTATGATTTGCATTTTTCGCCCCCCCCAAAATTTGATGAAGGCATTCTGCATATTGTTGTTGCGTTTGTAACGCTTGGTCTGTTTCGGTTAAGGGGTTCAGTGTTGTAATACTTTATATACATTAATATTAACGAGTCGTTTTGCATCACTTAAGTGATGAAAGATGCGAATCTGCTCCGACATTATTTACATTGATCTGAAATATTAAATTAATAAACGTTCAATTGGTTCCTTGTAAAGATAATAATTAGCACTATGATCGTCAATTGCTCGATGAGAAATGTCTGTCCATATTCATTTCGATCTTGCAGGCACGTGAGCAAATTGATCTCGACACTTGGCCTCGGGCAGTTGATAGCATTTCGGACAAATGACTTCCGAAAAATTATGAATCTTATCAACTTTTTTGGACAACTTGGGAGCCGAATGAAAAGCATGAGGTATCATACATGAAATTTGGCGAAACTTTGGAACTAATGAAATTCTGAACCTCGAGCACCTTGTTCAACAAAATATAATCTATTCAAGCAGATAAGATTTAAGTTTGGCAATTGTCTTTAATTTTAGTTTTAATACTCATTCACAAAGTGACTTGTGATTCACATTTTTACATTATTTACTCATCGTTTAATTTTGTGCGCTTGTTTTATTTTTTTGAGATTTGTTCTTGCTCTATGCTTTTCTAATAGAGCTTGTTTCCCGGCATACTTAGGGCATTTGGCAGTCTAACAAGCTCCATCGAAAGGGCGAGCTAGTCTAAGATTGTCTATTTGTGCCAGTCTGTTGGGCTGTCTTGAATTATTTAAATGCAAAATCAATGAATAGTTTTCTGTAATTTATTATACATGCTCCTCACTCGCCTGCGCCTATGTTTTGTGACATTATAAAGATCACATGACCATATAAAATGAAACCAAACTGAAACGTGGACCAGTTTCTCAGTCGGCATCAGCAATTCGCGTGGATCGCACGGCAAATCAAACCGAAAATGGGCGTAGAAAAGGATGTAGGAACGGTTGGTTAGCTGGGAACAGAGTTGAGAAGAGTTTATAAACGAGGCAGGATTTCTGTGCACAAAAAGAATTATTTTCTATACAGCTGAAAGCCGAAAGTTAATGTTACTTTCTAAGCTTTCTGTCTAAGGGTCATTGCTTTGCATTTGATTATCGCCATTGTCTAGACTTTTATTTAGCATCATTAAACCAAATTAATTCTTAATTATCCTCACGCAATCTTCAGTGGACTACCAGCTAAATTAACCAGTTCCTTGTGAAATTCGTATGTTTCCCTTTAGGTAATTGGCATTGTAGTCTCTGGTTATGCGAAGATTTCTCCGGCACACAGCAGCGCTTGCGGGTGTATAAAATATTGTGCAAACTTTGAGATACATTTATGAGTGCTAACAAAAAGGCAGCCGCACGCCGGATAAGTAGACGCATCTGTTAACAGACAGACTCGCCCAGTTTGTACAGTGATAAAATGTGAAGTGCGGTTTACTGAAGTGAAACAAAGCAAACGTAAAACACCAGCAAGAGTCAGCAGCAAAGCCGTCAGCTTAAAACTTGCCCTAGTTCGAATTTACCATACGTTTAAACACACACACACACACACGTCCACATACCGCACACACACTCAAACGGTGATAGAAATATGAGTTCCCGCGAGGACTTTGAGCAACTGCGACTGCAGGAGCAGCAGGAGCAAGTCGCTCTGGAACTGGAACTGCAGCGAAATCGCACCATCAGCATGCACAGCCATCCAAAGCTCTCAGAGTATTATACACGTGAGTAAAACTAAAAAGCTGAGCTCAAATGAGTTCTCATTTGCATACAAAATATGTGTACTTAGTTAAAAAGTCAAGCGGGATGTGAACAAATAGGCTTCACGCTTCAAATGCTCGGCTAGGGCATATTAGTTAGTGCTTTTTTATTTATTTATATCCAGGACAAGAGGACAACAAAGCTATATATTTATATAACGAGGTCATTTGGTCTGTCTGCCACATTTTGTAAAAACTTTCAGTATATTGCAGACATTGAAAACATGTGTGTATATGTGGGACAGAAGTTGAGTTTTAATGTATAATATTTATCTTTTGCTAGGTATTTAGTTTCCTCAAAGTTAAATTATTATTGACACAGCCGCTGCTTTTACCTTAAAATAACTTAAAGAACATGGTCTTTAATTTTTGGTTAATTATGGCTTGCTGTCTGGCCTGTTAACATCAAATAGACGCAGTCTGTCCGAAAATAGCTTAGATTTGTTTAAAGAGCACACCCCTTATGCATGCCCGATAATCTCACTCTTTGATTACCAAAGCAAACCGTTCAAACTAACTGCTGCATTTTAGATAAAGATAAGTTAAAGCTGATAAAAGTATGTGGCTAATGGTTATACTCTGCATGTATTTCCCCTTCACCCATTAGCTGAAGCTAATTGAATAACCTGTTTATTTTTTTATCTCTCACAGACATGACGGCCTTTCTCTCGCTGGCCATCTTCATAGCCGCATTGCTGACCATACTCAACATTTCCATATACCTGACGACCGTATCGCGGCTGCGTCGTCATTTGAACAAACCGCTCAGGATACCCTCCATAATGATGGTCAGTCTGTATCCGATCATATCGGTGGCGGCCCTGGTCACCATACTGGTGCCGTACTCCTGGTTCATGTGCCACACGGTGATGCATGTCATGTTCATGATAGGCGGACCAGTTTTTCGCACGCTGCTCTTTCGCTACGTCGACTCGGAGCAAAACTATTTGAAGGAAACATCCGGCGAGCCAGTTACGCTGGCTACGCCCCCGTGCTGCTGTTGCTGCCTATGCCTGCCCATGGTGGTGCCGACGAAGGCGAAGCTGTGCATCTCACGGTACATGGTCTGGCAGATGCCCTTCTGGCAGGGCAGCATAATGCTGATCATGAATATACTCTATTATCGTGATAGGGATCTGTACCGCCAGGTGGTGTTCTTCTTCATACCCTTCATCATAATGTCGATTGTATTGGGTGCCTGGTCTCTGCAAATCACGGTGCGCATGATTACCAAGCTTCGCGGCGACTATCAGCTGCGGAAGAAGATGTTCTGCCTGCAGCTGGTGGTGATGCTTTGCAAGCTGCAGTATTTGATACTCTACGAGCAGCTTAACTCCTTCAAGCTGGGCGGTGAATATCCCATCAATCATACGATTCACAAACAGAGTAAGTTTTTAGAGTGGGCAATTTGTTTGGTAACTTAACTAAAAAGGGACTTATTTCATTTGCAGCCATCATCAATATTCTGATACTGGTCGAAATGGTTCTGGTCTCAATGCTGGCACAAAGTGCTTATCGGACACCAATTCAGGTGCAAATCGACGAATCGAATCAGAACTGAAAGGATTGTGGATTTCAGTTGGTTAGGGACAAGAGTTATAGCAAATGATTGTGATAATTTACAATAATAAAGACAAATTAGATTACAATAAAAAGCAGCTAAGAATTTAATTTTATTTGTTTACAGAGAGCAGGGAATTTGCAAGATCTTCATATATGTGGCTGATGCATTATGTCTGGACGCCCATTGCAATGGGACTTCTTTTTGTACTACATTTAGTACCAAGAACGTACGATATCCTATCTTGATCAATGAAATATATAACATTTCCTCTGTGTGCCTCCCCTGTGTAAAATAAGTTTACATAAGCATTCGGCTTAAAAGTCCAATATAAGTTAATCCCAAGGACATCAATTTAACCTTTTTAACAACATAAATTGTAGTTTTTAAACAAATATCAGCTTGATTTAGTTCATTTTAGTCGCATTTAGTTAACAATCCTTGTGCCCCGCAGTGTCACTTTTGCTGCCGTTGTAATTCAAACGAAATGGGTCGAATCTCAGTTGCCTTGTTGGCCAAATAGCCGACCACAAATCATCATGTGTTGTCCTGGGCTGGCCTGGATATATTCTGTGTCCGGCTCAGCTCAGGCCCTGTGGCTCCTAGGACACGCGTGTCGCGTTTAGCTCATAATTCTCAATGGCCCCTAGGGGCAGGTGCAGGGGCAGGGGGAGGCGTAAGGGTGTGCTTTACATTTTTCAACAAAATTGTATGCGGCTTAGGCCGAATGCCTAGGCGCCATAAAAATACAATAAATAAGTATGTTTTTTTCTTTCCGGCTAGATAGCCTTTTTTCGGATAACTCAATTGCCGTCGCTTGAGCATAGGGGGAAGTAGGAAGCAGGCCGGGAGGCTGACACGAGCGACCAAGGGCCGAGATACAACAACAACGACAAGAACAATAACAACAACAATTGCGTGTTGCTGCGGCAGTGCGTTGAAATTTATGATTTATTTGAAAAGAAAGTACATTGTGCGCTGCCGAAATAAATCACACCAAAGACGCTGAGAAGAAACGAACGTCAGCCAACGAAAATCAAATAAATAATGTGAGTTAGTGCAGTGCAGTCCAAAAAGACGTTAGACCAACCAAGCAGCTTGTTTACCCTAGCAAAAAATAATACTAAGATTAATTTGAAAGTAATTCAGAAATCCCTTTCAAAATATTATGTACTAGTGTAGCACAGAATTTGCTGCATAAATATTTAATTAAAGCTGCGCTCAAAACTATGCAACAATAATTTTGCACGCTTCTCACTGAGCTTCGGGCCAGCCCATATATTTGCTTGAAATTATACTTATGTGTAGCAAACGGCCTGCGCAAAACATAATGCCCTGCATGGCATCCTTCCACGTTCTGAGCTGGGAATAGAGCCACAGCAGTCAAGTGCCTTGGTCGGTCGCTGTTATCTTATCGTTCTTTTATGATGTACACAACGCCACAGAGCACAGCTATGAAAAGGCTTTGCCAGTGAGCTCGTGCCCTTAGTCCCTTATCCCGCCCGGCTGGTTTGGCGCACTGTCAGCTCTTGTGTCTTGTGTTGGACCGAAGCTGTCGGTTTTTATGAAGACGCTTGTTTACTTGGTCTCCTTCGCCAAGGAGTCGACGAGCTTGGCCCGGCTCGGCCCGGCCCGGCCAGGCAAGGCAAGTAAATCAGATTAAGTACCCGCTGCTCATTTTGATGAGTTGCAAGTGCCAACGATGAAGACGAGTACGCGGCACGCATCCCGATTAGTTGGCAGCGGGGATGCAATCCGTGTGCGGCTTTTTGATTTCAAATTGGATTTTTGCAACGGATATGCGCGCGTACTACACACAATTTGTGTGCAAAAAAATTTAATTAAAATGCAAGCTATCGAACAAAAGCGAAAAATATGCCTTTGCTTTTGTTAGAGTTTCCCTTAAAAATTTTTATTAGAGCACAGCAAAGGCGAACAATTGCACCAGAAAAGAAACAAAAGTTCAACAAGAGCTATTTCAAGGGGCAAATGATTGGCATTGTTGAGTAAACTTTACTGTTTACCACTGCGAACACCAAATGTGGCTATTTAAATCATTTCTGGGTTTAGTTTCATCATATTATATGAAATAAATCAACAAATCAATTGTTTCCCATCGTTGGATTTGTATTTGATATTTTTAGCTCAGAGTTTCCGCCATTTTGATATTATGCTAGCATTAATAAAATATTATAGCATACTTTTGTGCTTGGCAATAAAAAATTTGATAATGCTTTCTCAAAATGCCGGCACGAAAAAACTGTGACGCCCACTTGATGGCGACGTCTGCTTCTGCTTCTGCTTCGGGCATTGTCTACGCCTCTTGGCCATGTCCAAGCACGTTAGGCCATCAGCTGACACAACATCAGACAATACAACAACACCAACAAACAAATGGAGAAGCTGTCAGACAGTGTCTTATGTCACTGTCCATTAGACGCCAAGGCGAGCAGTTGGCGGATGGGCAGAGGGTCATGCTTAAGCTTGTCCAATGAATTGTTTACGCCGGCTTCCTTAAAGCTGGAATACTGGAATATTCATTGTATCGCCATGAGGCCTTAGTGCGGGCAACATTGGACTCTAGACATGACTTATGAGCAGATAAATTTCATGGCTGCTTGCGCGCGAAAACACTTAGACAAATTAAATAATGCGCATACGCCGTATTGTGCGGCTGTTGAATTCAACTAATAGAAATTATAACACAATATTTGTCATTCACAGATAATTTAACAGATTCCCAGATGATGCGCAACTTCTGCAGCCATTTTATGATTATTGACTTGACTTGGCGTTTTTATTTTTACTTATTTTTATTCCTTTTATGTTTTCTCGCGTCTTTGTTTTTTTTTTCTGTCTTTTGTTTATTTCAGCATTTTGAGTATTTATGCCTGTCCTTTGTCGAGGGCTTTCCTTCCGCTCTCGAGTCGATTTCTTCAGCTGCTCGCCCATTTCGCTGGTGCTAAGTAAATAAGTTTTATGACTTTCTTTCGCTTGTGCTGTTCTCTGTCAGCCCCGTAAAATTGCGTACGTCTGTGTCTTATGCTTGATTGATTTCAGGCTCAACTTTGTCCCGATTTGCCAAGGTTTTGATTTTTCCCAACACAAATGCCACGCTTTAAGCATTGTAATGTATTTTGTTGTTGGGGATTTCATAAATTGTTAGCTGGGCAGAAATATCACGAAATATCGTTATAATTTTTTGTTAATTATAACTGTGGAGTTTGCGAAACTTTTGCTTTAAATCGGTTATGTTTCTTAGTCCTGAATAACCATTCGTTGCTTTTTTATGGACTTAAGACATCGTAAGGATTTTTACTATAAGAATTGCAATTGTGTGCACGCCTATAAAAAGGAGAGTTGCCTGATAATGCTGTTATGCCCTTTACACTTTTCCCCTGTCTTACTTAACAAACATCAAAACATCATTTACCTCATCTGCGCTCTTGCAGTCACTTTTCCTTGCATTTCCTGTCCCTGCAATCCGTACTTCAATTCATGAAAATCGGGCTACAGATAATATCGGTGCGGATTAATTGTTATTGGTGTTGTCGGCAATCAATTGAAACACAACTTTTATACATTACAGGTTATTAAAAATTTTAATTAAAATACTGTCATAAATGAATGTTTTTTTTTAGGCAACGTTTCGCAGGAAATGTGGCTTTGACTTTCAGCGAATGGCGGTCGGAAATTTGAATATATTTGCATTTGCGTTTGGCCGCATTTGCCTTGATATTTTATACTTTTGTTTTGGGCAATGTATCTCTCGTTAGCTTTTGTTTCCGATATTTCGATAGATCCCTTTGTTACGTTGCCCAAGCCCCTGCGTTGGGCTTATAGTCCTTACAAGAGTCCAATAAAAAAGTTCTGTTTTTTTTTACAAAGAGCAGAGCATGGCCGAACCGAGTACAATTCTTATACTACCCGCTGCTGTTATGAAATTAGGCAAACACGGCTTGTATCATTTAATTAAAAACTTTTTAGAACGTTGACTTTTTCGGCCAAAGTCACAGCAGGCCACACATTTAAGCCGCCGGAGCCGCACAGGCGCCTTAAATTAATTAATGCGCCGGTTCGGAACATAAGAAAAATATTTGCGCATGTTTTGGCATAATTAAACAGGGCTTTGCACACTCCAGTGAAAAGCGTAACAAAAAAAGGGATTTTAATCTATGTATTCTTTTAAGTGCATAAGGCGACTTTGATAAATGAACACTCAATTTCCGATGTATTCATATAAATTCTGCTAAAAATCAGCTTGAAACATCATAAAAGCACAGTCAAGCCATAAACTGCAGTTTTAAGTTGACTTCCAGCTGCAATCGAGCTTAAAGCAGGACTCGCAGCATTCTTCTCCCTGCCTGTTGAGTTTGTGCTTTATTGTTAGGGGAACAATTTTACGATGTTTTCCTTTGCAGCTTAAGCTATTGCTGATTAGGCTTATTTTTGCAGGGTATACATGTGTTCAATTGAAGCTCGACTTTAGCAGCCGTTTACCTCTAAGCCAGCTGGCCGGGGGCATTTGTCTGTAAGTTTGGGTAACGGGCCTGTTGTTCTTTCGGCCCGGCCTTATGCTGAGCACTCAGTTTAACAATGGCAAACAAGTAAAGCGCTGCCAAATCCGCTTAAAGAGCATTTGTGTGTAACGGCAGCAGAAACAAAACCAAAACCGACTAAGCAACGCTGGCATCTGTTCGTGTTAAGGCAGCTCCAACACCAGCTCCGTCTCTGGGTGCTGCTGCACTGCGTTGCTTTTTTGCTGTTCTCATCTTTTTTTTATTATTTATTTTTACACCTTGCCATTCCTCCATTAGGGGACTTTGCATAAGTGACAAGCAGGCGAGAGACTTGGGCCACAGCCTCAACGTCTGCCAAATACACATTCCCAGCTCCATTCTTATCCTTATCCTCATTCACATTCCCATTCAAATCCAATGCCATGTGGTGTCATGTGTGAGTGGCTCGGCTAAAGCCCCGGGCTAATGCAGCACACACAGGCAGGCAGGCATAAGGCGCTGCTAACACGAGACGCTTGTCAAATGCTCCCAAGTGTAAGTTGGGACGGTTCGTGGAGCGGAGGCGACAGAAAGCCAG